TAGTATGGTTTAAAATTTTGAAACATGAGATTTGAATAAATTTTTAATGTTCAAATATTCAGTCCATTAATTAATAAATGCAATTTCCATGATTTTTGTAGGCCACTGTATAATTTCAAAAATTATGAAATTTGTTTTGGTACACTAATTTGACATAAGGAAGCTTACATAAATTTTTAAGGTCATTTGGAATAAGTTCATTTTTGGACTTAATTCCAAATTTATTTAAAAAATATAAATAAAGGCAAACCCTAAGTGTTTGATTAGTGTTGGATCTTGTTTTGGTCATGTTTTGTGACTAGTAGGGTTTCAAGATCCATTTTTGTCAAATTACATGTGTGGTTCTTGACGGTAGAATTGCCAGTTGGTTTTGTTGGCTTGCAACTGTACCATGAAGGAAAATGGTTTTCGAGGTGTTTTTACATTTCATGTACCATGAAAGCATCATGTTTACATTATCATCATGTTAAAGCATATGTTATCATTTCGTGTAGAACCCGAGAGTGAAACGATTCTAGTTGAGCAAGTTCTGGAAGAATCCCCGATTGTCACGGGATTCGATAATTATGGTACTGATCCGGAACCAGAGATCATCAACGAAGGCAAGCCCCGGTTTATGCATTAAACCATTACCTTGTTTACTTTGAAAAGTTTATCACCTATGTTACTTATTGCATTAAGTTGATTTACTTCAAATGTTACCTACTTGATGCATTGCCTAAGTTGTTGATTGTTTACCATCCTTGAAGATGATTTCATTTACAAAGGCGTAGAATGCTTATGGTAGGTTTTCAAAGTAAAAGTTTCAATACAATCAAAGATGGCATACTGGCCAAAGAAAGAAAGAAAGAAGGTAGAATGAACTAGAGACTAGTCGGGTGACTTATCTTGAATGTTGGGTAATGTTGTCGACTATGTCGCTTAAAGGCCACTCATTGTGGATCTTTTGAACGAGACACTTTGTAGTACTGGTCACATACTCCGATAAGCCTACTTCGGCTAATCCGATACTAAGACAAATGCCCACACACTGGGAGTGGTGAGATGGCGGGAGTAGCATGTACCCTCGTGGCTTGAATGTGGCCGGATTTGAGGCGTGCTGTGCTCTCGGGTGGCGTGGAGACGGCTTAGTACGGGAGGATCCGGTAGCGAGGTTGATATATGCAAGATTAAGTTCTACATATGTCGTATGATAAGGAAACCCTAGCTGGGACTTGAATCAATTCGAATTGCCGGTGCTCCGCGGATATGGAGACTCGATTCATTATAGAAGCAATGCAGGACTGGTGAATTACTAAAACATGAGAAAAAGAATGGAATGAGAATGATTGGAACATGGGATATGAACACTTAGTTGGAGATATTGAACTAAAGTACTTAGGGGTAAAACTTGAAACTAGGATCAAGAATAGTAAGCTTTTGGCAAAGAACTTTTGAATCTTTCTACATCCTTACCTTGACCCAACACCTGCATCCCTAAGACCTTCATCCTTTTTCGTCGGGTCAGTCTTGTTGAGTACTTTTGTACTCAGGGTTTGTTAACCCTTGTTGCAGGTGAGTCGCATGCGCAGGCTTGTTTTGGTCCCTGCTGCATGTCAGTGTTTGAAGTCGATGACGATGAGGAATGATGAATGACCTTTGGACAAGGCACTAGTTTGTGTGAAATAAATAATGTTAATGTAATATTATCCCGCTACTATGGTTGTATGACACTTATGGTTATGTAAGTTTGAAACAACTGGTTTGTAATATTAAAACTTAAGTCTTCCGCTTTATAATCTCTGGTATGTATATTGAAAACTGTTGTAATCTGCAATGACTGTGATTGGGATCCTGTTTGGAAAAGATTCATAGATGATTCGGGTTTTTCGAGGACACCCGACAGATCTGTTAAGTTGTTGGGAACTTGTGTACGCTATCTGAGGTCTGTTGAGACATCGATAGGTGCACGTGGGCCCGATTTCTTAAGAGGTTCTGCCACAGCGGCCAAACCAAACTGCCTTAATATATAGAAATGCATCAACATTATGTCATGAAAGATGATGCTTGAGTTCACATGCAAGGAAGTTGATAGACGTGTTGTTACCTTTTCAAATAGCTTGAAGAAACACAACATGCACCTTGTGGCTTCCTAGTCATGTGCATTAGAGCATCCGCAGTGTGAAGGACCAGGGATGCTCCTATACTGGGTCCCACCAATGGCATGACTTGTCCTGGTATTGAGCTCACAGTGTATGGAACTGAACCCGGCTCCATAGCCGGACCCACGCGCACAAAAAAATGAGAGGGGCGCTTCTCCCCGCAATCTTCTTTCCCCATTCTTCTTCCGCCAAATCCGTCGCTCCGCCGCCGCCTTGTCTCCCTTGTGCTGTGTCCGCCTTGTGCTCGTCGCGCACTGCCACCTTGTCGTGGTCATGCGTCGCCCGATCTGCTTCGGATTTGTGCAAGGAGGACGCGCCGCCACCTCATCTTCGTCATGTGACATGCAACAAGGAGGACGCAGAGCATGCGCCACTTGATCTGTTGTGGCACATGGAGGACGCACCGCCACCTCGTCTTCGTCATGCGCTGTGGAACAAGGAGGACTTGGAGCATGCGCAGCCTGATCTGCTCCGGATTCGCGCATGGAGGACGCGCCGTCACCTTCGGGATCTGCGGCATGGTTAGTCTCTCCCCGTCTAATAATAGATTTGGTGCTGTGTGATAGTAGCTCTGGGCATTGCATTATTGTTTCTCTCTGAAGTTACAAATACATCAAACTGAAGTTAACAATAGAACTTTCCATTGATTTAGGTTTACAGCAACAATAATGAAAAACTAAAAATAACAAGGTACATGCAAAGGACATCTACAGATTACACATTCTAAGGTTGCTGACCACCAAATTTTTGCCATATATGTTCCACTAGATCTGCCCGCAGACGTTTATGAGTCTCTCTATCATGAATCATATCATTGATCTCTAGGATTCTGGTAAATCCATGAATTGGTCCGTGGTCAAGTCCTTCAATTGGTTTGGTAGCTCGACCCTCTTCATATGTGGTGTCCAGATGCAACTGATACGAGTCCCTCTCATCTTCAACTATCATATTAAGCAGAATAATACATGCCATCATAATATCTTCTAGCCCTTGCCTATCCCATAGACGTGCTGGATGACATATAATGGCCCATCGTTTCTGTAGAATCCCAAAAGCACACTCCACATCTTTTCTTGCTCCCTCTTGATGCTGAGCAAAGAGTCTATCCTTTTCAGTAAGAGGTAAAGTAATTGTTTTTACAAATGTTGCCCACTCAGGATAAATTCCATCAGCTAGGTAGTAAGCCATATTATACTCTGAACCATTAATTGTAAATTTAACTTCTGGGGCTCTCCCTTGTAGCACTTGTGTGAACAATGGCGATTGGTTCAACACATTTAGATCATTGTTGGAACTAGGTGTGCCAAAAAAAGGCATGCCAAATCCAGCGGTCATAGGAGGCAACAGCTTCGAGCATGATAGTGGGTACCTTATAGTCACCACGGGTAAACTGTCCCTTCCATGCAACTGGGCAATTTCCCCATCGCCAATGCATGCAATCCAGACTTCCCAACATCCCTGGAAACCCTCGTGCCTCTCCAACTTGGAGTAACCGTTGGATATCCTCATCATTAGGTCTTCTAAGATATTTCTCCCCATATATGTGTCTAATGCCTTGAACAAACTTGATTAGACACTCTAAAGCTATGGTTTTAGCCATTCCAAATGCTTCATCCATAAGGTCTACTGGTGATCCATATGCTAACATTCGGAGGGCATCCGTGCATTTCTGCAGTGGTGAAAGACCCACCTTACCGAATGCATCTCTCCTTAACTGAAAATACGGGGACCAATTTTCTAATGCTTCCACAATTTGCAAAAATATGTGCTTTCTCATCCGAAACCTTCTACGGAATTGGTACTCAGTGTACAAAGGATTCTCAGCATAGTATTCATCAACTAATTTTGCATGGCCAGCTTCATAATCCCTATTAATGTACCTTCATGAGTTGACGTTGTTGCCTGACCGAGCTTGAAGTTTAGCTTCAATCTGAGCTTGCATTTTTGCCTCAACACGAGCCACCATTGGGTCATTGATTTCCTCCAACATGAGTTTTTGGAGGTCCTCACTAGTGATGGACTGGTTTTCAGAGTCTTCTGCCATTTGTTGGTAGAGGCCTGGTATGGTGGATGGAGTAGAAGGAAGTGTAGCATATGCAAATGAATGAGTTGTGTGTTAGTTGTCCTTCAGATTGTATTTATAGATGGCTTCACCAGCAGCTGGCTTCTCTAACAGCTAGTTTTTGCAACAGCTAGATTCTCCAACAGCTAGTTTTTCCAACAGCTAGTTGCTACAACTTTCATGTCAGCTGTGCATTAAATATTTCTCCAACAGCTAGTTCTGAGTTTCATGTCTCCTTTTTTTAGATCTTGAGAACAAGGAGAGCAGGTGGCACATTGCATAAACAGGTACAAACCAATATTGATATTACCAATAATGAAAAATAGTACATAATAGTAGTGCCACATACATTTAGTACAACACAAATTCCACACACTAATACATAATGGTAGTGCCACATACATTTAGTACAACACAAATTCCACGCACTAATACATAATGGTAGTGCCACATACATTTACTACAACACATACAGTACACTCTAATCCATAATGATCTGCTTAGTTGTCTGAAGATGGAAATAGTTCCTTGGCTAGACCCTATAAGAGTTGTTCATGTAGCTTCAGTGTTGCTGGACTCATGTTCGAAGTATCCTTATCCAACTGTTGCATGTAATTTTTTATCTTGTCCATTCTAACCTGCTCCTTTGATGCTTCTGTTGTTTTCTCTAGTACACTTGCTCTCTTCAACATAGCATCATGAAACAAAACCATGTCTTCATCTGGCTGCGAGCCTAGGGGAGATTATGGTATGGCCTTTCCCTTTCCTTCTCCTCTCATCCTAGCTTTTGCTTTCTTCTACCCCTCTGGGCGCACTTCTTTGAATGTCTCCCCCTCATCTGTGTCTTGGTTGGAAGATGAAGTGTACGCTCTAGATTCATCTACTTTTGTCCTTTTGTTCTTCTCTGAACAATCCATACCAGGTATACTTCTATACCATTTGGGTACCTTCCTCGTAATCTTCCAAATATATTCAAGTGTAAATGGCTTTTTCTTGTTTTCTCTTTTGAATGCAGCACGTGCTTTATCCATCAGCATGTCATCAGATTCCCCACTACAATAGGTCATTTGACCATGGACCCCATTGAACTTGGTAACAGCTGCATTAATTCTTCCCCAATGGCTTTTCAGCTATCCCTTTGACCTTCTTCTTGCACCCTCAGCCAGGCCCGAATTGAACGCTTCTGCTATCTTGTTCCAGTAGGCCTCTCTGCTCTGATCTGTGCCACGAATTGGATCTACTGAATGCTTAATCCAAAGACTTACAAGGCGTAGGTTCTCGTCCTCAGTGTAATTAATTCTCATAGCCCTCCTTCCTTCATCCAGGCTGCTGGCGCTTGAATCTTCCTTTTCTTCATCTTGCTCCAGCTCTCTTATTTGTGATTGCGGGGTTGCTGAATCTGAGCCAAGTGATGATGCACCACCAGCAGCACCTACAAACATTCCACCTGGGAAGCCAAAGTTCGGTAGTGGTTGAAAACCTTGATAACTTGGTGAAAACTGGGCATACTGTTGGAGGTTTCCTACACCACCAAAGGGATTCAAGTTGTGCATGTGATGAGTAGGTTGACTATGTTGGGGATAATGGGAGTGGTTGAATGGTGGTGGTGGGGTGGGGAACTGAGTCTGGTTGAAAGTGTTGGGTGCAAAATTTGGCATGTGCTGGAAGCTTGTGTTATCTAGTCTTGGATTTCTGAGATCAGTGGCGAGCAACCTACCAAAACTTCCCTCTAAGGGCTCCATATGAACTAAAAAATATGAGTATTGAGTTGTTTTGATTTTGCTTCTCTATTTTTGTGTAGCCTGTTGGGAACAAGGAGGCAGGGAAAGATTGCTGGGAGCAAAGGAGGAGGCCGCTGGGAACAAGGAGGCAAGGGAGGATTGTTGGGAGGAAGGAAGCAGGCTGCTGGGGTTCCTTTTGAAGAAGCGTTGTGCTGTAGCTAGCAACAAGGAACACTGTTTTTTAAGGTAACGATCAAGCGACGCTGCATTTCACTTTGACTCTGCGTTTCACTTGACCATTGAAATCTGAATGCTCATCAGCTCATGGCAGTTGGAGCTGTGTCATGTGTCAGAGTGATATAATTTTTATTGCAAAGGGGGTGGGTTCTATATCTCGGAGCAGCTCCTCCATCGAAACAACCCCACATTGTAACGTACCAGGTCCTATGCATGCATTAAATGCATCGAACCAGCTTCGACACACACACTGCGGATGCTCTTAGGGGGACCTTTGTCACCAAACTGAGCATTGAATGGCTTGTAGTCTTTCGCCAATCGTGCAAAGGCCTTCTCAAATTTTTTCTGCTTTTCTAACATCATATAGGTAGCATTCCATCTTGTGTCCAAATCTGACGTCAAAAGACTTTTGCTCGATATTCTCCTACTCTGCACATTTCTTGAAAAGCTTCAATCTCGATGGCGAAGATCTAACAAATCTAACTGTTGTTCTTATTTTGTCAATAGATTCATTGTGTTCCTCCAGTCCACTCTTCACAACTAGGTTAACTATATGGGCACAACACCATACATGAAAGGAATTTGTTATTTAACACAACCCTCTTCTAGTCTTTACACACTCCCTTCTAATATAGAATCAACCAATCATTGGAGTTCCCATTGTCAACTGTGATTGTGAATAAATGATTGATACCCCACTCTAGCAAGCATTCTTCAACTCTTTTTCCAAGGGTTACTCCTTTGTGATCATCTTGAACTGTCATTTCTGCAACCTCCATTCATCATCAATCTAATGTGAAGTGATGCACATATAATTTAAATTTTGATTTGATGTCCAAGTATCTGTTAGATAGAATCTTTGATTTGCCAAAACCTTCTTCAACTTGGGTTTTTTCTTCAACATATCACTGCCAACAGTCCCTTGGTACTATGACTCTAGAAGGTGGTTGAAACGTGGGCTGCAGCATTTTGGAATATCTCTTGAAACTATTATAAAAGGCATGTCATTAATTATAACCATATCAGCAAGCGCTTTGCATCAATTGTCAATGCTGAAAGGTTGCTTCGGTGTTCCTTTCTTCTTCTTTTGTAAGTCCTGACCTTTGAGTGGATCTTCAGGGCACAAGTTCCGCAAATGCTTGGCTACCGCTATTTTTTTGGCTCACTGTGGCAGACCGTAGGCAGCTGCGGTTGCGTAGGGATGGCTACAATGGCTTGGGATGGCTGTTGGCCGCCTTTTGCCGGCTGGGGTGTGCCTAAGGGTGGCTAGGGGGCGGCATGGTTATGGGCAACGGGCGTAATCTACGTAGAAAGAAGACCAAGTTATCCCTAACGAACCTTTATATGTGATCTTTTTTGAATTTTTAGATGTGAGATTTTTGAAACAGTTGGAGAAACCTAACAAATATGTTGACAACTCTTTTTAGCAACTTAAAAGCTCTCTTTTTTAAAATTATTAAAGATTCTATAAGATTATCCTATCTGTTATCGATCAAAAGACACCTCTATCTAGCATGGCATTTTATGCTCGCGTACATCCATGTGGCGATCCAGCTGCTTCCTAGCTGCACCATGTAAACCCAGTCAAAGTCCTAGAAAAATTCTAGAGCTCACGCAACGGCCATAGAAGATCCGCACAGTCCAGCTCGTTGAGGACGTGCCACAGTACCACGCATCCCGACGCAGTCGTGCCCTTTTTTCCTTTAATTCTTTCCAAAAGAAATTGATTTTCGTACCTAGGAAATTATTTTCTAGCTAGAGATAAATATGAGACTTACTAAAATTCGTGTGTCTAAATTTTAGTTTCCTCTCAAGCGAGGATTACTACATATATTTATATTAAAATTATCTCCTTATTTTATTATAATTTATATAGCCATAATTTGCAAAATCTGATCCGTGTTGGCACAAAGACAATTAATGCCCTGTTCATTTAGCTGATAAGCCATGGCTGAAAGTACTGTTGACTGATTTGTTGTGAGGAAAAAATACTGTTCGTTGGCTGAAAAAGTACGACTTATAAACCAAGCGAACATAGTGTAATAATTTATAATTGTTTCTTTTGTCAGACAAGAACGAAAATTTGATATGTACGATACAAAGACAACTAACAAATGACAAAAATAATAATTCAATTGTACCCGTTGGTTCTACGAGAGTGTTGTCTAAAGATCAGCTTAAAATTTACGAAAGGGCTAGTGTACGGATGCAGCTCTCCCACCCGCATCCCGTCCCACGCCCCTGCATCCGCATCTCGCCTAGCGCTGGCGCCCGCGTCTATCGTAGGACCGCGCCCCTGCTCCCACCCCGCGCCCGCATGAGGAACCCACGTGGGTTGACTCACGGCTGTGCCCCGGCAGTAGCAATAGGCGGCTACGGTAGGCCGTTGTTTGCCAGTTACCAGTGTCGTGCAACACCCTGATCTACTTTAGAAACATCCAGAGGTATAACAACATATGCAACATCTAGATATACTTTTGTGACATCTAGATAAAACACTGCAACATAAGTATGAAACACTTGAAACAGATGCTTGAAATATGTGGTAGAGCCATAGCAACATATGTAACATCCAGCTGGAACACTTGAAACATACGTTTGACAACATATGAAACATAAGCTTGAAACATGCGTATATTGTCATTGCAATAAATCAACATCTCAGATCTACTTTTGCAATATTCAGATTAAACACTTGAAACATAAGCCTAAAACGCCTGAAACACTCGAAACACAGCGTCGTCGACGACCATAGCCTACCTGGTGGGAGAACTGCGGTAGCCAACAAGCTCGGGGTCAGGAGAACGTCGAGAGCTGCCTATCGTACACCTAGGCGCAGGCGTAGGCCTCCCCTTCCTGCCATGGTGTCTTCGGCGGGCCACGGTGCACTCCATGGCCGCGACGGCGCGAGGTGGATGGAGGTGCAGTGTAGGGCGTGGAGGAGCACAGGATGGGGGCCGGGTGGAGCGCACCCACGCTGGAGAAGGCCGCGGCGGCCGGAGAGCGACGCGGTGGATGCACCGTGTGTCGGTGGGGAAAGAAAATATCACTATCTTTCCGAGAAAATATGAAACACTTAAGATGGAAGGCAGCAGGGCTGTTAGACCCGATGGCTACGCAGGCCTGAGAACGGGCCATCCGGACGGCACGGACGCCGTCACCAGAGAATTTCCATAAAATTTATAGGCACTAAAATATACGAGAAGTGGAAGAAATATTTGGGAGAAATAAAAAGGAAAAGGGTGCATGCTTTTGCTTTGCCTGGGGCTCCTATTTATAGCCAACTGGCCCGAAAGCGATCTCGCCTCGGCTCATCTCATTTTTCCATTCGCCCCCTCCACTGTTTCAATATCAATAATAATAAAAGGATTCTCGATTCGATTTCCTCGCGAATTTTTCCGGTGAGGGGCGGCGATCGGCTTCGGATCGGCGCAGCGGAGATGGTTGCCGTGGCGGCGGAGGTCCCGATCCGGGCTGCGGTCGCCGTGCCGGCGGCGGAGAGGGAAGCGGTGAGGGCGGCGGCTGCGGAGGCGGCGGCGAAGGGCGGTGAGGGGGAATCGAGGAAGGAGGAGGTGAGGGATTATGAGAGCGACATGAGGAAGCTGGAGGAGCTGTTTTCGAAGCTGAACCCCTCGGCGGAGGAGTTCGTGCCGCCGTCGCGCCGCCGCGTGGACGGCGGCGCTCGTCGCCTCTCGGCCGACGCGCCCGTGTTCGTGTCGCCGGCGATCGACTACTACGCGCGCCACCACCAGCCGCCGCCGCCGCCGCTGCAGCAGCAGCAGCCGATGCACGTGCTTCAGTTTGTGGGTGGCGTCGGCGGGGGTGGCATGGGTGGCGGCGGGGGTAGGGACTCCAGCAGCGATGGATCCGTCAATGGTCAGCCGAATCGACGGGTAATCATTGAATTGCCGAGTCCGATTCGGTGCGGATTGTCTCCGGGTAGGGGTTTGCAGTGGGCTGTTTCTGGTTCGATCGATCGGTCGGCTTTGGACTTTTTTGTGATGTTGATGGCTTTGGATTTTTTGTCACTCTCGCGCCATCGCTTGGGGGAGCTGATCTTTTGGGAGGGTTTTAGGTCTAGATTGGTTGCAATATAAAATTCAATCCATCTGCCAGGATCAATTGATACTGATACTCTATGATACATGGGATGTTTAAAAGATTCTTATCAGCTGATTACTTCCTGATCCCCTGCAAATGAATTTTCTGTTATTGGATTTTCGTTATGGTTTCTTTCTCCGTTATGTTCTCCCAACATATTGTTCGCCAGTGCTAAGTTGGGTAGTACAATTGGAGTGCTTTCTTGAGAATAATCAGCTGCATTTGGTCTGTGATTACAGAGAAGGAATGGTTTCATCCAGGGGAGAAGAAGGATGATGGGTGGCCGGCCTCGTCGAGCTGACAGGGAGGATAGTGTGCGGCGAACAGTCTATGTCTCTGACATTGATCAGCATGTAAATTCTTGAGAATGAGCTATCGTGTTTGGGTATATTTAGTTTTATTTTTTCTTGATCTGTCGATCCCTTTGATTTGCAGGTAACTGAACAGAAACTTGCTGAAGTTTTTTCAACCTGTGGACAGGTGTGTTCTAAGGTTCCTGATATTCAATCTAGTTGAGGTCATAAGATTTTTATTCGTCTATATTCTGAACACCACAAATAACGAAATATGAACATCCTATCATTTTTCTTACATGTGCTTAGCTCCTTTGTAAGTTGTGTCTACTTTGTAAGCATGTCTGGTGGGTCCTCATGGTTATGTGTGTGCTAGTTGGTCTTTGGCCC